AAGGTCACTTCTGTACTGCGAATGTATCATTACCGTTAAGAAATGATTTGCCGACATTCTTTTTCATACACTTGCTGCCACCATGAACATTTAGTTCCATGAACACCTCCTTTTTCTAAGGCCGTGAAATTTTACTGCGGTGAACATACAGTAATTGGTAGCAGAGTACAGTATCTTGACCTGCGGGTTGTGTGATAGCTTTCCTCAGGTCCTTGAGTGAGGTAGCTGCTGAGATATGACCTAGAGGGCTCTGTGACTGGTACCTGCAGGCTCCAGGGATAGTCCGTTATATAATTGGTATGTGTAAAATGTAGTTTGAGAGGGGATGATTCATTACTTTATTTACTTACATTACATGTGTATGGTTAATATGGTCATTTCATCCTACCGCAGTACACAATGTATCTACAATTCACTCAAGTAATGCATGAATGTTGTGTCAGGGTATGGCTGAGAGACAGCAAGCAGGAATTTTTAAATAAACTTTTTCAAAAACTAACCTTCAAATATGGTTACCGTAGTTAAATATCTCTATTTTCATCATCTGACATGTTTTGAAGTAGTCTTAACTCACATGTGCGATACATGTAAATATTTATATATATGAGGGAAATGGAGGTTTTCACTGTGTTTGAAGTTCACGGTTGAAATGATTCTGTAGTACGTACAGTAGAAATGTAAAACATATATTAGCAGCATTACTTACTTAGAGTTACTTTATCACAAACCTGATTTGATGCATTAAAAGTTATATCAGAAAGGAGATCTGAAGTAAAATGTCATACTGTAGATTAGCAAGCGGTTCTATGATATCAGTTCAACATTTACAGAAGAAGCTTTACTGTAATCTTGCTAAAACCTGACTTCCTTGACCCTCGGTCTACTCAAAGGGTCTACGTAGCTCTGAGTCTGAGAAGGTTTATTTATTTTGAAGGATCCAGCCAAGACATTTCAGTGAGGGGAAGGGTCTGGGAAGGTCAAGGGCATAGAAGGGTATACAAACACAAGAACCAGGAGAAATTGTTACAATTCGCAGACTCTGTAACCTTTTAAACTTGTTGCTCTTAACATCCATTGACCTTTATCCGTCAAAGTACCTTTATCCGTCACGCTAGAAAACGGTGTACAGCGAGAGATATACCAATGCACTATCAGTTATCCCTTTAGGTATGCACAGGTTGAACACCCAGGAGTTCAGTACCGTGCCGCGTGGGACTTGGCACTCATGCATACGAAGAGGACGAGGTCAGACAATTATTGGCCTTTATTACGACGGCCGAACTACGCCGTGGGAGGGAGACATCGTGCCCTTGTTTACAGGAATAGCAGACAAATATCGCTCGTACCTTCAGTTTAACATACTGGTGAACAAGAAAGCTTAATAAAGTTTCCTTTCCTAACCTTAATCTGCTGGCGTGCTGTGATTTATCAATAAAAAACGTGCTCTTATTGCGACTACATTTCGTTATTTCCGACGCAAATGGAACGCCGCCATGTTTCTTACCCAGAAGGCTTTGGGCGGGTCTAGACTTAGAACTTCGGACGACAAAGGTTTGTAGTAAACATTTTTTGCCTTATTTTATTGTATAAAGGGATGAATAAGGTGACAATTTCGTTACATTATGCTCTAAACGCATTCAGGGACTCAGAGAGACGCTTAATATGTAACTATAAAAGGAATAATGTGGATTCTTGTTGCGATTTCGATATGGATCGCTAGATGGCTCCATTTTGAATTAAGAGGACGGTGTATTTCAAGGTTAGGTGAGGTATTGTCCAATTTCGGACTGTTGACGCCACACAGTATCGCTCCATAACTTTTCCGTGTGCTCTGTTTAATGTAATACAGAAGTGATAACAAACTGGTAGATTTTTGAAAATGAATGAATAGCAAGTTGGTTACCATTCAAGGACTTTGAGAGCCATAGAACCTTTACGTTGAACGAAGATTACTCATAATTAAGATACTAGTAAGTTAAGATGGCTGATTTGTTAGTATAACAGAATAAATGAATGAATGGTCGGATAAATGAATAAAAGAATGGCACTGCATTCCACCAATGTTACCATATAATGACTTACAATAAAATTTTCAGAACATGGAAAATTCGAGAAAAAACGGAAAACCTGGGACGCAAACTTAATGCAGAGCGTGTTAGACGATGTTAATGAAAATCACCTAACGCCAACGCAGGCTGCCAAAAAACATGGAATTCCCCGGACAACCCTTACTGACAAAATAAAGGGTAAAAGTCAAGTGAACGCACGAAACGGAAGGCCACACATCCTCTCCAAGGAAGAGGAGGAAAGTCTGGTGTTTTACATCAAATACCGCGTTGACAGGGGATTCCCCATTAGTAAGAAGGCGATTCTCTCACTGGCCCTGGCAACCCACTTGCGGCATTGTGAAGAGATGGGAATGACACCCAAGGTTAATCGGAAAAAGGGGCTGTCTCAAAAATGGTGGAAAGGGTTCAAATGCCGTAACAACCTGACCATAAGGAAGCCTTCTCCGCTCGACCGCGGGAGGAAAGATGCTGTTGACGAGAAAGTGGTGAAAGAGTTCTTCGAGTTGTACAGAACAAGGATCAGCGACAATGGCTTGACAGGCCAAGCCCACCGAGTATATAACGTAGACGAGACGGGTTTCGATCTTGATCCACAAAAGAAGAACGTGGTAACGTTCAAAAAGATGGGGGCGCCGGCTGCTTCGGTAAGAAAGGGCACGAGAGATCATATTTCCACTATGGAATGTGTCTCAGCAGACGGAGGAGTCATCCCGCCTTTGATAATCTTTTCAAAGGCCTATCCAAGTTCAGCATACCGGTTGGAGGGGCCGGACAACGCGGTATACGCTACAACGTCATCTGGGTTCATTGAAGGAGACATCTTCGTCCAGTGGCTGGAGAGATGTTTCTGCAGGTTCTCCTCACAGGAGAAGCCAGTGCTTCTACTCATGGACCAGCATAGCGCGCATGTAACCCCCAAGGCCATCGACTGCGCCATCGCCAACGATATCATACTGATGGGTCTACCCCCCCACACAAGTCATTTTCTTCAGCCTTTAGACGCACCTGGAGGACCCTTCAACACAATGAAGAGTACGTTTGAGGATGTAGTGAACGAAATGCGCCTGGTGAGACCGAACTTCTTCATGACCAAATCAACTTTCCCAAGAGTCTACAAAGTTGTTCGGGAGAAAAGCTTGTCAATGGCAGTAGTAAAGACAGGCTTCCGAAAAACAGGAGTGTTCCCCATCGACCAGTCTCAGATAAACAACCGTTGGCTGACACTGAACAGCCTTGAAGTCGCCGTAGGAGAAGAGAACAGTGCAGACAACATGGTAGAAGAAGAAGTAGAAGAATCACAAGATACATGTACCTACCAGCTACTCCCCGAAGAGGAGGAGATACTCCAGATGGCGAAGGAGTTGGCTGATCAGGAAGAAGTTGTCAGCAACGAAACAACAAAGAAAGTTCTGCCCGTGCACGTGACATCACCAACATCTGAGGTGTATAGTGCCAATGAGAACCCGTTTGTAAAGGCCGGAATTGTCCCGTCGTATGTTGCTGACCTACTAACACCCATACAGGAGTCGCGTCAGCGCAAAGTGAGGAGGGTGAAGCCTAGGGCTATTGTCTTTGATGAGAAGTACATAGCAGACCTGAGAAAAGAGGCAGAGGAGAAAGAGGAACGCAAGGTAAAAGAACAGATGAAGAGAAAAGAAGAGAGGGAGGAGAAAAAGGAACGCAAGGTAAAAGAACAGATGAAGAGAAAAGAAGAGAGGGAGGAGAAAAAAAGGAAGAAGACTGAAGAAATGGAAATGAAGCGAGCGGAAAGGCTCCAAAAGAAACAGAAGCAGCAGAAAAAATCAAACAAGCCATCCGCAGGAACATCTTTGTCGGTAAGGAATACATTGACGTTGAACATTTCTGATCAGTCGCTTGAAGATTGCTCAATTCATATTCATTGATCCTACGAACGTACACATGACTTCTGTCATTTTGACATTGTCTTTAATAACCTTACCTTGATCCTCGCTCAGAGCACCAGCCCAGCTGAAGCAGCCGCTAGACCCCGCCGTGTGGCAAAGCGGCCATTGTGGATGGAGGATTTCACAACAGAGTCGACAGAGGTTTGTACACACGAATATATCAGCGTCTGTAATAGGACTTGTGTTTTTAATGACTTTCGCCCGACGTTAAAGAACCAATTTAATCCCCCCCCCCCCCCAATTTCTGTTCTTAGGATGAAGGCTAAGCGGGATCGCGCAACTACGTCCCAGGAGACTCACCACTCACGGTGCTACCACGGTGTGGGTGTGTTAATGCGGACTGGTATCTGTCGAGCAAGATGAAAATGTGGTTCCTTCCGTCTGCACCAACATCGTTGTTTATGCTTACGAGATTGCTATTCGTGCTTCATCCGCGCCGCCATGCAAGAATGGGCGAATTTCACTTCTCAAACCATTTTAGTGTTATATTTTCAATCGTTAATTAGTTATCAATAGTTAAAAGTTAGGTGACATTATTACATATTACACAAGATTCTCAAGGTTAGTATGAAATGCCATGTTTACATTGGGAAATGTGTCGTTTTATGAAGTTGTTTTAGCGTTTAAAGTCCCGACCGGGCTTGAATGTGGTGTTAGGGTTTAGTATACGGCAAATTTGTTCTTGAGTAAGAAGCGTCAGTCAGGATACTATGGGATAAAACCATCAACAACCTTCTATAATTTTTGGTTTATCGATCGGTATTGCCTGTAAAAAGAAGTAATGAATTTATTACTTCTCCCATTTGTATCTGTGCGACTAAAGTTTAAAGATATTAGACTGGGGGTTTGGAAGGAAAATAACTTCGTAGTACGGTAAATAGATACCAGTCGTCTATTGGTAATGTAATAATGTAATTACACGTGTATTCCTTGTATATTTGTCTATGTGCGAAATCAGTAACATCATTACTGGAATGTAGAAACAAGCTTGGAAAAACGCAATAAGGCTACTAGACTGACAGAACCATTTTATTGGGAACATATTTATACAAACGAAATGCAATGTATATTACTAGGTATTACTGAAGGGAAACGTCAAGCTTCAGGACGCAGAACCCCCTCTTCACGTAAGCTTCCCTCAGCTTCACAACCAGGTCTTCAATAGCGGCTCCAGAGCACAACTCTTCAACTGCCAGCCGGTCGGTTTCCCGGACCCACCCCACTTGCATCCAGTCTCCGTCGACCAATGCCGAGGTCATGATCCCAGCCCTCGGTGCACCTGGGCGGTGGTACGGCCGTACCCGGAGGGGCGGGGTCTCCCCGCACTCAAACATGTCAATCAGCTTCTCTGCGTTAGAGCAGTAATGGAATGTCTGCAAAGTCAGTTTCTATAAACAAAACAAAATATCAACGTCAAACCTTCGGTTAAGGTCAAGCCTCTTAAGTATGACTTTGTCTCGATATACTGGCCTCCTTAGGAGATCAAGTTTGTATAGACCTTCAATATTTTTTGCCATGGAAATTGATCTAGAAGCTAAACAAACTTACCTAAAACAACTAAAACACATCCACTTACCATTCTGGTAGATAAGACCTTGATAGCGTAGCTTGCACATCAAAAAAATTCTGTCAGAATCGTTCTGTCACTGTGATTGTGGCAAGCGCAAGTGGCGGGAAAATGGGGTGAACCATTGTCGCGAGTTACTTTATTTTTATGTGTGTCCCTTTGATCTTAAAACAGCATGTTGAAACTCTGCATATGTTGATAAAAATAAAAGTACCTATACTTTATAGTTGATCTTAATAGTAGCTGCAAACTATGGAGGAGTATTCGCCTGGTAGGTTGACGTTCCTCCATTCAGGACCCCCGTTATGAAAATGGAAACATCAAGCGGCAAGCGACTCAGCCGACGATCCCACTAGTCTGTGTGTAGGTGTGGCAAGTCAGCACACTTTTACACAAGTAAGATTATCAAGCACAAGTGTTAAAAAATAAAGCGTTTTATAGTATTAACACAATGAAGTCTTCTTAATTCTTTCCTGGAACAAGCATTGGAGTTGTAGTCGCTCCCGCCGCAGCTATTTGCTCTTGGTACAGGCCGATGACCTGTGTTATCATGTTACAGTTTCCGGGTCTCCGCTTCCGCCTGCTTGTTAGCATGACTTTTACCGACTGTAGTGCAAACCATCGTCAGTTACTCGCATTTTAATAGCTGTCGCAGGCCCCCAAGGATTTAACCAAAGGATTTACAACAGCCACGACTCGGCAGTGGAACGTAAGAACGAATCTGTCGCAGGACGATGTTTTTCGGGACATTGACAGAGAACAGAAAAAAACGGACATTTTTCAACGCTGAACTTTCGTTTTGCCTTATCCAGACAGCTTGAGTTTCAGACACTCTCAAACCACGGAAAAAGAAATAACAGTCCTTGTCTAAAAGGTAAATAACAAAGAGAGAGTTATGACGAGTATCTTCGTGACGGATAAAGGTTCATCTTTTTTAGAACATGCCTGTCTCCAACGCAATTCAGTCGTGTTTTATTCAGTGCGATAATTTTCTTACAGAGGCATCAAGGAGACAGCAAAACGCATTCAACAAAAGGGGCAAAGGTACTCTATAGTGTCAACATATAGCGGGGGAAGAATGCTGTTTGATCTTTTTATAAAGTGGCAACACTTCACTATTGCTGATATATGTGACGGATAAAGGTCAATGGATGTTACATATATTTGCCTCAAACACAGCGATATATCAATCATGGAGTTAGACTCCATGGATATATAAAGAAAAGTCAACGTGTAGATTTGGCTAGCATTTGATTAGGCATGAAATTTTACTGTGAGTTATAAACTAGAATGGACTTGTTGAAAGTGTTGGCATAATATACTGTGCCTACACAAACTCCGAATTTTTCATGGTCTTCATTGGATGTTTGGTCAACGTTGTATCAGAATTTTACCCATTACAGACGACTTATTTTCCGACAAAACAACTATAGACGGGATGTCATCCTTGAATATTTTTAATACACTTTAAATGCAATGCACAATACATTATGGGTTTGTGCAAGCACAGTATGTTCTGCCAACATGCTCTTTTATCACTTCAAGTACATATAGTAGACTGATAGTACTGTACATGTAGGTAGTGACTGTAAGTGACAGCATGAGGGCTTGTAGGTCTGACACTTGAGCCACCAGGTTATGGCCTGTCTGACCCCTGGGTATCTATTAAGCCAGTTACAACTAGTACTGTTGGGGGCGGTACATTTTATGGGACACACCATTATCACGTGGGGGAAGACAGAGTAAAATGAAAATTGAAATATTTTTGAGGAAGAGGTTAGTTTGTTTGTTTGTTGAAATCAGTGATTTTTGTAAGCATTTTCAGGCAGTAATGAAACTAGAAATGACTGTACATATTGTAGATATACTAGTAGTAGTAGTTGTAGTAGTGATGGTAGTAGTAGTAGCAGCAGCAGCAGTAATACATTTTGTAGTAGTAATAGTAGTAATACATAGCACTAGTAGTAGTAGCAGTAGTAGCTTTCTAGACATTTTTTCATAGTATCAGTACATGTATAATTATGGTTGATAGTAATATATAGTTGAATAAGTTCTTTGTCATTGATGCCTACAAACAATTGTCATTCATTGGTTGATTTTTGTAAAAAAAATTTAGATGTGTCTTTTTTCAGTTTGTCTCGCAAATCAGGAAAACGTTATACAAGTCACTCTGCTGCTGTTGTCTAACTCCCTCAGTGGCTCCCTTGGCCTTGTTGCCTAAACATTACATAAACTACTTGGGTTTAGTTACTTAGCCAGATTTGCAGGTGGTATATCACCTTATTTATATCTTTACAACACACTGCAAGAGGTGATAAACCGGAATGTTTTGGCAACATTAGAAGCAGTTAGCTAACAGCTGTTATTGAAATGGTATTTATTAGGCATACTTGTATTTTTTGAGTACCTTGCATAGTGTACTGTAGAGCACTAGAAAGGTAGTTAAGACGGAATGTACTCGGGTAACCCCAAATGATGAACTGTGATTTTTTTTTTCATATTGAAGAGTTCTTATCAAAGAAAACTTAGTTACATGTACAATGGGGCTGGTTGGCCTTTTTTAAATATTATCTATAGAGCATAGTCAGCCATCTTAGTAATTCATAGGTAGGCCATTATGAAAGCCAAGGAGGCTTACATGAAATGTAATCAGTGCATTTTGTGTAAAGTTTAATTGAATTTAACATAGAGCATAGTAAGTAATACTAAAAGCCAACTTGCCCAAATTATTAAAGCTTCAGCAATTGTTAAATGTAATGTTACCATAGTTCATGATCATAAGTGTATATGTAATACCTGCTGCACTTCTGCCACAAGACACTAGGGGGCACATTGTCTGCTTATGCAACAGAATACGTCACAACTTGCATAAGTCTGGAAAAGTTTGTTGTGTAAAGATGGGTACTGTTAGCTATCTACTGTAGTTCACTTTATGTTCTTGGTAGCGAAAAGTTAACGGTCTGAGAAACATGTAGGTGTTCACTATATGTTCACGGTGGCGGCAGATGCAGAAAAAAGAAAGTCAGCAAATTAATTGTTAACAGTAATGATAAGTTTGTGGTACAGAAGTGACCACGAAAACCGTGAACATTAAAAGCACCGCAAAAAATAAGGAATTACAGTATTCTCGGAGTGACACATTTACATGCTACATAAAGTGTTGAATATTATCTTTTAACATCTGTATAATTTTTATGTCATTCTGTAGATACTTTTGATTGCTAATATATCTTTGAGATTTATTGCTGACATACCAGTACTTCATATCTTAGATATTATAGATGAAACTATATGGCATGGTCTCAAGTAGTTGGTACAGATCTTGTGCCAGGTGCCTGGTGGCCCAAGATGTCAGCAAAATAAATCCAGAGTGACAGGCTGTCTTCTGGGAGACAGGGGTGATGACAAGTGGACACAGGCCCTGGCATCTGAATTACTCATAGTCACTGTAAAATGCTTTAACTTTGAATTGATAAACCATAGTGAAATTCACCCTCATACTGGCTAATTTTCATGACGAATTTTACTTACTGGTATCTTTAAAAACGAATTCAAATTTACCAAACTTTCTTGCAGTTATTTATACATACTTGTACATGTACACACGTCAGATGAAGTTAAAAGATGCCATTGAAAATTGTGTGTGCAACCTATATTGAGTTCTTGCCAGCATGTTTTTAAATGTTAGAGTTCATGTTTTGTGTTAGTTATTTAAGAATTGCCTCAGTTTACCAGCTGAAATGTAATGGAAGCTGATTCAGGTTTCAGTATATCTGTAATGGAAAGATACAAACCAGATGGAGTCCTTGGAACATTATTCTGTTCAAGCTGGGTTTAAAGTAAGCTGACTGTGTGTCAATATCTTCTTCAAGTGGCATCCTTACATGTATACAGGGCTCGAAATACCACCTGCAAATTCAGGTTAGTGCAGGTGAAATTGGAGCTGTGCAGGTATTTCTGATGTCTACCTGCACCTAATCTGCACTGGTCCTTGACAAAACCAGTCCTAGACACTAGTACAATCTCCAAAGTAGCATCATGAAGACAGTAATATTAAAAATGGTTGTACTGGGAACTTTTTTTCAAAATGTTTCAATTTTTGATGGACTGAAAGCCAAAGAAACCTTTTCAGTAGTGCAGGTAAAACTTGTCTGGTGCAGGTAATTTTGAAAGTTGCCTGTACCAGTAGTGCAAACTTGCATGTACATGTACAATGTATATGCAGTGCAGTATTTCGAGCCCTGACATACATGTAGGTATAGCCTCCCTACTGCGCTGATGTGTGACTTCTTGATGACATTGGAGGTTGTCTTACATTCCGATGACGAGGGAGTCAAATAGGGTAAAACTCATCACTTCTTGGAAAGACCAGATCTGTGGGACTGATTCCAATGATGCTAAGAATTGTTTACTGAGAATTTAGAATCATATATGGTATATGTAAGTACAAATACAGTTAAGAATTGTGATGTTAGCTTTAGATTTAGAAGTGGGTTGCTGTATAACAAATGAGTAAGTACTGAAAAAAGAAATTTTATTTATGTATTTATTTGAAAACAGCTAGATGGCTTCATTTCCATGGAGATCAGTTTATGAATGAATGAGTGAATGAATGGATGGATGGATGAATGAATGAGCTTGCTACATGAATGGTACATTGTACAAATTACAATGGTATGCAGCAAGCAACTATTAAAAAACAATACTACAAGGCTAATATATAATGAATTTATAAATTATAGCTACAAAATATCATTGTTCTAACACAGTTCCAATACATTCACAAATACCCAACACACTTCTCTAATTCAAAGTCTAAAGTCTGAAGTCTCTGCTATCTTGTCCCCAGGTTGTACAGATTCTCAGTTCACCTGTGCCAACGGGCGCTGTATCAACTCAGACTGGAGATGTGACGGAACAGATGACTGCTTCGACAACTCAGACGAACAGTCATGTAGTAAGTGTACTTCAAATTACAGACTAACTTACTGTTAGTTACCTAGCTCATTGTAATTTGTATGTTATTGTTATAAACTTGAGATGAAAGAATTGATCGTATAGAAAGCATTGCTTGAAATTATGGTAAAAAGAAATGATAATTCAGTCTGAATTACATTATTATTAGTCCTCGAGGTAACATAACATAATTGAGTTTATTTTTTGTAGTTGTTAAATACAAACTGTGTCACTTTTTTGATGGTTGGGTTATAGGATCAAAATGTGTTTTCCTGATAATTCAATCGCTTATAGTTATAATTCAATCAATAGATTTCAAGCCACTGCATTGCTGCATGATATAACAAAGAAGGGTTATTGTAAAATACGAATGAAGGAGAAGGAATTACTACCTTAACTTTTCTGCCATTCATAAGTTTCACTTTGATTATTTCCTCTCCCAGCATTCCCACCCTGCGATGCAAATGAGTTCCAGTGCACAAACGGACAGTGCATCTCCCAGAGCTGGGTGTGTGACGGGGAGAGTGACTGTCCAGACAACGCAGATGAAAATCAGAGCTGCCGTGAGTGTTAATACATTTGTACTTAATGTGAACTTGATCAGAAGTTGCTTTGAAGAAGATGAAGCTTTTGTGCTATATAAGTAATTGCTGTTTTTGTTTACATCATATACACATGCAAATTATTTGAAGACATTATGCAAATTATTTGTAGGAAAACCGTCCCCGCTTTTTGCCTTCCACTCGCTGGCCGTGATGCCATGGCATCGCTCATTTTGCTGCTACACGGATACTACATGTACATGCAACAGATTGTAATTATCAGAATCACTACGTGGCATTTTTGACTGTGGGTAGACCTGAATAAAAGTGGAATCTGAAGAAAAAGTGTGGATCAAGAAAGATGAAGGAAACAGCCTGTTTTGATGCATCTAACTTAAGCATTCAGTTGAACTCTATGCAAGATGCTAGATTAATATTGAGACATCTTAACCTGTTAGCTGACAGAAGTAATGATTTCATGGTTGTTTTCTTCCTGTCACAGCCCCAAGAACGTGTGCGTCTGACCAGTTCACCTGTACCAATGGCAGGTGCATACCTCAGAACTACAGGTGTGATCGGGTAAACGACTGTACAGATGGCAGCGACGAGGGCAGCCAGTGTTGTGAGTGTTACTTAATCTTTAGCATGTTGAGTTTTGATATTTGATTTCTGCTGCCACTGACATTGTCTTTGGTGACAAAGTTGATCTGTGAAGTGACAAAATTGACCTGTCCATTGACAAAGTTGAGCTATCCAGGATTAATATTCTCTGTAGCTTCTTTTACAAGTTTGTAGATTGCAAGTTTGTAAATCATATCACAAATACATGTACATGTATTACAAAAGGAGGTTAAGATAGGATGGGAGCGGAACAATGCTTTTCACACTGTGGCTTTTTCTCCCCATCACGTACAGCGTACCCAACGTGTTCATCCTCCCAGCTACGGTGTAACAACAGTGCGTGTTACAACTCCAACCAGCGCTGTGACGGCAACATGGACTGTCGAGATGGCTCAGACGAGTTCAACTGTAGTAAGTATAGAATCTTAATCTTATTTGCCTTTGCAGAAGGGAAATATGTATTGTTTTTGGTCCATTCCTTCTTCTTCTCCAAACAAAAAAGGTCAATAACCTGGACCAGCAGCTGTCACCATGGTAACTGGTGATGTAGCAGACACCATGTGGTGTTGGATTACATTACATGTATGTAGCAAGTTGCAGGACAGAATTGCAGGGGCTGGTCACCATATATAAAATCGCAGGCTAATGTTTTTGTTATGATTTGCCAACAGACGAGCCGCTAAACTGGATAGTGAGTGAGTGATGTTTTGCCAATAAAGCTTTTTTTTTGAAAGCCAAGAACCCACAAGTTAAACTGGTATGGTGGAAGTATTTATTATCTTTTTGTCTTGCCTGTATTAGCGACCATCCGGTGCCAGTCTGGCCAGTTCACCTGTATGAATGGTCAGTGTGTTGCCGGCAGTTACGAGTGTGACCACGATAACGACTGTGGGGACGGGTCAGATGAACACGATGGTTGTGGTGAGTACGCCAAACTTTTTAAAATCTTTTTTATTATGTTGATCTATCAACAACCTTTTCATCTTTTCAGTTTGTAACCATCATTTTGTTGGCTTGCTGCCACAAACTTTGACTCAAAGCAAAGAGAAGGTTAAGCAACTTTTCATTGTTATAATTTAAAAAAAATTGATTTAAAACAATCTTCTTCTGCAGTTTTCCCCACATGTAGCGGAGACCAGTTCACCTGTCAGAACGGGCGGTGTGTACCACAGGAGTACATCTGTGACCTGGACAATGACTGTGGTGATGCTAGCGATGAGATGGGCTGCTGTAAGTGTCTTTTGTATCACTTCTTCTTAGTCCTCTCCATCCTGAATACTATTATAATTGTTTTTGAGCTGCTCTATCCATTGCCAACACTCCCTATCTGTGAGACTAACAGTTTTATTGCTGTCCTGTTTAGTGCCGACACCCCCCACCTGCCAGCCTGACCAGTGGGCGTGTCCCAACACCACCACGTGTATCCAGATATCACAGCTGTGTGATGGTCAGTCTCACTGTCCAAACAACATGGACGAAACCAGGCCTGGATTTGCTTGCAGTAAGTAAACTGAACTCATCTCATACTCCCAGCCTTAAACATTTAAGTTTTAAAAACCGTAACTGATATCTGCAAGAATATTGTTACTCAGGCAACTGGGCAGATTTTAAAAACTGTTAGACATTTCAAGTAACATCCACTATTTTGGTCAGTGACAAAATGTAGTGACAAAACCAGTGGATATGCTATTTGAAATGTCTGACAGTTTTTAAATTCTATCTAGTTGTTTAAGTTACAATTTTCTTGTGTATCTTGATGTAACCTTTATCACAGCATGGTATCACATCATACCATGATTACACAGTATACATTCCTGGCATCCTCAAAAACCACATCCTACCACTACCTATAATGTATCAGAATCTATGTTTCTTTTAATGCGATTCAACAATTTTCCCAGGTTCCTCGAACTGCGGAACGTTGGCGTGTGAACACCGATGTCGTGCCTCGCCTGACGGAGGGATCTGTTACTGCTCCCCTGGGTATCAGGTCTCCAATGACAACAGGACTTGTCAAGGTAGTGTTAAAAAGTCTAAGATGTTAGAATTTGCAAGGATTTGTTGCAAAGTCTAACATCTTATAAATACGTCTATAAAGAAATAAACAAGAAATTGGAAATTTCAAACCTACGGAGGTATTTGTAAAATTTGTTGTGAATTTATTGGCACATACAAACAGATGGTCTGGCAAACTTCAAACTGGCCCAGTAGGATATCCAGCCATCACTTCCTTCCAACTTGACCTTAAGGTCAATCTGCGGTAACCTCCACTATTCTACTGCATTGAAACATCTCCGAACACAACAAAACATGCAGACAAACATATTCAAAACATGTTCTGTTACCAAATGTAATACATTTTGTAATTGGCAAAGAAAACAAAACTTCAGAACTGTACACTAAAAACCTCTAAGTGTCAACAGATTCAATTGACTTGTGATGTTGTTGAACTGTCCCATCTTTGACCGATTACAGATTTTGATGAGTGTTCTGTGTGGGGTACGTGTGACCAGACCTGCACCAACGTGCCCAGCACCTACCGATGCTCGTGTGCCGAGGGATACGTCCGGGAGTCAGGACGCCACTGTCGGGCTTCAACACAGAGTTAGTGTTTCTCTCTTTTCAATCTGGCATCTCATTTGGAGTCTGTAAATTAAAAGACACAAATGTACTCACATAGAAGACAGAAGTTTCGATTCATGTTAATTTGAATATCCCTTTATTTTATAACATTGAAAATTTGTACTCTATGTATGAAATTCATTGAACCATCTGTCATATTTTGGGTTGCTCATACAGTTGCTACCTTCAGCAGAAAAGAGCTTTTAACAATGTCTTTTGATTTGCATAATGTATTTGGTGGTCTTAATTTTTATTACATAGTATTACATGAGCATAATGATTGTACTGTATCCCCAAACTTCTCTTTTTCTAGTAGTACCGGTAGTAATTTAGTATGAACTTACTGTTTTTTTCATCTTTATTTCCTTAGCTCAACCTCGGATTATCTTTTCCAATGGAAGAAGCATCGTGTCGACTGATCTCCATGGCAACAACCAGCGGGTCATCATGTCCCCATCCTCCTCCAGTACGTCCAATGTGCTGGGGATAGACTATCACTACAACGAGAACCTGCTCTTCTGGTCCGACTCCATCAACAACAAGGTACAGGAAGAGAAGTTTTGCTCTTTTTTGTATCATGTTTAGACTTCACAGGAGGAAAATTTATTGCTTTGCTCTCTTTCTTCTCTTCTTCTTCTTCTCTGAACCCATAGGGTCAATGACCTGGACCAGGCATCTGTCACCATGGTAACTGGTACTGTCGTAGACACCCTGTGGTGTTGGGTTACATTATGTATCAGGCAGAGCTGAAGGTTTTCAGTCAATTTTAGATCAATGATTTTTACCTTTGCCAGAAGGTTGTGTATGTTTTTGGTAGCATCTGTATGACTGTGTATGTGGTTTAGCACGATAAGAAGCAATAGATAGAATGCCTGGAAACTTGGTAGGTGGGTAGGTCTTGTTACCAGTTTTGTACTGCACGTAACTACTTGTACAGGCAACCTGAAGAAGTTTTGTGCCTTGTATCTATTGTTGTCATGACATCTTAATGTTTCTTCCCTCTCCAGATCTTCCGTTCCAACATGGATGGTTCTAACCAGCGGGAGATCATCAACATCGGGCTGGAGACTCCCGAGGGCCTGGCGGTGGACTGGATTGGACGGAAGCTGTACCTCGTGGAGAGTGCCGCCAACAGGATCGAGATCTGTAACCTGGACGGGACGATGAGAGCGACGCTGGTGGCGGAGGACATCGACCAACCACGGGGAATCGCACTGGACCCCTCAGTGGGGTAGGAAAATTAGACTTACACATTGACAAGAAAACTGTTACTCAAGCTGCTGGATAGATTTTGAAAACTGTCAGACGTTTCAAGTAGCATTCATTACTCTTCGTCAGTGACTGATCTGGATGTCTAACCTTAATCAACAAAAACAAGATTTGTTTTGCTATGCGCATGCTTAAGCTTTTTTCCATAAGATCTTTGTACATGTTGTATTGTATATGTTGTATTGTATATATACATAGCTTGTTACTGAGCTATTTCCAACGTTTCATGTATGAAATGGGGACAAAAATGTGCTAAGAAATGGCTTTAAATGTCAATATCAGACAGATTTCCTCATCCAGAATATTACCTTTTCAGATCTTCATTGATTGAGGAATATTTTACTAACTAAAGTTTTGTTTTGAATATTTCCAAACTAGCTACATGTTCTGGAGTGACTGGGGCAGCACACCAAAGATCGAGAGAGCGTACATGGACGGCAGCAACCGGTTCAATCTGGTGGACACCAGAATCAGCTGGGCGGCTGGCGTGACGCTGGACTATGTGAACAAAAGGGTGTACTGGGCTGACGGACGACTGGACGTTCTGGAGACTGTCAAATACGATGGCACAGACAGGTACAGTTGTCATAGAACTTATTGTATAGTCTGTATCGGTATCTTTCTGTATATGTTGACAGCAGCCACTCCAACATACCAGCTTCTGTGCCTGTATCAGTGTAGCCAGTACATGGCAAATCCTTGTATAGCCGGGACATGTATAACTACCCTTTGGTGTAACACACCAGCTTTTGTATCTGTGTCTGTATAGCTGGTACCATTCAGTGTAACATACCAGCTTCTGTGCCTGTATCAGTATACCCAGTACATGTATAACCACCCTTTTTTGTAAAGCAACTAGCTTCTGTATCTGTATCTGCATAGCTAGTACATGATTGTATAACTGCCCTTTGGTGTAACACACCATCTAAGCAAACTAACCTGAACTATAGACTACATGTGTAGCCAAACCTCTACTAGTGACATTCCAGCATAGGAATCACAAAGATGCCATATTATAGGAAGATAGGTAGCTCTAAAACTATATTTAGTAGGATACTTATTGTCAGTGAAAACTTTTCCTTCACTTTTGCAGAAGAACAATTGTATCTGGAAGCCAGGGCCTCCATGTGATCCCCCATCCTTACGACGTGACGTTGTTCGAGAACTACGTGTACTTCTCTGATTGGACGAGGATGGGCGTTGTGCGCATCAACAAGTTTGACGGAACCGGATCTGACGAGACCATCGTCCACGAAACTAGTGTCAGGCCGTATGGTGTTGTTTCTGTTCATCCCGTCAGACAGATGCAAGGTATCTGACATTTTCATTCAAGCACATACTAGTAACCTTCAGCATGCTAAGATATAGCTGTTTGACACTAGTGACGCTTGTTTAGGGGTATCTTGTTCTGAGTAGGGAGGTTTGGAAGTGATGGGTGGAGATTGGGTTTCAGTTGATTGACAGCATTGTGGCCCAGTATGCCCTGGGTGTGGTATGAAGTAATTGGGAATTTGTACTGTGTAATCGTGGTATGAAACATGAACTACATGTATGGTGTATTAGCAGAGTAAGTTAAGTCATACAATTGTATGAGTAATAGTTCATTCTATGATGTAATTTAATTGGAAATTTTCCTGTGATCAGACAAATACAGTAACTGTTACAATTTACATTTAACAGAACCCAAAAGACTTTCGAGGCTTATAAAATTTGTCAATGAACTTTATATTCACTGTGGTGCATTCTCTATTCCAGTAACCAGTCCATGTGGGAACAACAATGGCGGCTGTTCGCAGATCTGCGTCCTGAGCCATCGGTCAGACAACGACGGCCTGGGGTATCGCTGTATGTGTCAGACAGGCTACGAGCTGGCAGCTGACAACAGAAACTGTACTAGTAAGTATAGTGCGGTCTCTGAGACTGGGAAAATGTTTTGTTACTTCTGGGAATGGAAGTACTGTTGTGAGTTGCTGAGTTGTGAGTTTGTGTGTACCTTTGTCTGGACAGCATATGGGTATGGGAAAGATTGACAGGCAGAATATTACATGTAGGGCAGATGGAGAAAATAGGGTGAACTTGAAGGTCATGAAAACCCATAATTGCCCAAAAATCTAAAGTCTCCAATTTCTTGTTTTCTTGAAATGAATGCTGCAAAACCAAGATAGGCCACACCAATGTAATTTCTTGGTTCCCTAGTTCAGTTTTCTGATGGTAAGATTTCATTGTTTTTCTCCCCCAGGACTGGACAAGTTCCTGCTGTTCTCCTCGCGGTACACGGTGCGAGGAATCCCGCTGGACCCGATGCAGAGCGTGGACGCCATGATGCCGGTCCTCGGGCTGCGCTCCTTCTACATCGGCATGGACTTCGACGCGGCGGAGAGGAAAATCTATTTCTCGGACACCGTCCAGGACCAGATCTACCGCATCAACACTGACGGAACAGGTCAAAATGTTTCACAGTTTTTAAACTATCTATTATAAGTTTGAATGAAAGCTCATCTGTGTTGGTAGAGTCCATAGTTGTAAAGTTGAAGCTTTGTTCCAATGCAAGAAGGGAACTCACTGTAAATTTTCGGTCGATCGTAAGACGTACCTAGGATACAATCATCATCCTTAGTGGCTTTAAACATGTAATACCAGCAGTGTAATCTGTCTTACAGGTAAAGAGACAGTGGTCGGATCACGAGCCATGGGTCCTGAGGGACTGGCTCTGGACTGGAAGGCCAAACACCTGTACTTTACAGACAGTGTCTTCGATACAGTAAGTTTTGTGACATTAACATTTTCCTAAGTCTACAATACATAAAAGAAATAGAACCTTATCTGTATATCCAGCCCGTAAGCATAACACATGCACCTTCGCATGGTTGCAGCTGGTTATATTACACTGAATGGCCTGTCACACCTAACCTTTGCATACTTAACTGCACGTCTTGTTGAAAGCCCCTACTGTACTTGGTAGATGTGAAAACTGCCAGTCTGCACTAATTCTAATTGTATATATATATCAGAACTTACCATTTTACAAAATCTTTTGTAACCCAGTTTGTTCATTCCTTGATAGTTGCAGATGTAAGTTTTGGTGTTGATGTGTGAGGTTTAACGTGTTTCTCTGTTCCTCAAAAGATCAATGTGGTGCACTTGGAACGAGGCTGGAGAAAAGCCATTGCAAGTGTGAACGTTGGGAACCCACGGGCAATTGTTATCGCACCACATAGTGGGTAAGTCAGTTCTCTCAACTACACAAACAAGGAACTGAAGCTCTCATTCCTCTTTGAAGTACTTCTAAATAGAGAGATTGTGAATTTCACACTAATTCTGTGTAATATGCATTTTCCTACTGGCTCCCATATAAGGCAACTGATATGCATATATGATATGCAGAAAATTTAAGACAGGAAACAAGATAACCTTTTCCGGGATCTTTGACCTAAGTTCACATTTGTCTTGAACATGACAAGCATGTGGAAATAACTATCATAATGGAAATGAAAACAAGTGTTTTAACACAAAGGATTGTACTTATCTAGAGCTTTCGACCAGTCGCTTTGGTCTTCTTCAATAGACTGACCCAGTGAGATTGATATACAGATTTGCGTATGTCCTCTTGTACAGATATTGTACTTTTTCCCCCAAATTGTATTGAGTATACTTAACAAAACACCATCCCCTTTGCTACACAGATACATCTTTTGGACAGACTGGTCCCGTCCGGCCAGGATTGAGCGAGCATTGACAGACGGCTCAGAACGAACCGTTATCGTGAACACCACCCTGGGCTGGCCCAACGGACTGAGCATCGACTACCCCCAGCTCAAACTGTACTGGTGCGACGCCATGTTTGATAAGATCGAGTACAGTAACTTTGGAGGACAGAACCGAGGGCGACTGAATATCAGATACATCAACCATCCATTCGGAGTCGTTGTTCACGAAGGTGTGTTAGATGTTACATAATGCCAGTAGCCAGGATTTTGAATGGGGTGGGGGAGTCTTCCCAACGTCTGAGGGACCAGCGAGCGCCGTAGGCCATGTAGGCGCAAAGTTCCTAGGGGGTCTGGGGGCATGCTCCCCTCAGAAAATTTTAAAAATTGAAACCTCTAAAAATAGTGTGTTGTGAGTAATATTTCAAAGTTGAAAACCCTAGAAAAATAAAAATAAAAACACATCTGACCATGCTTAATACATGTCCAGACTTTGTTTCTGCCAGAAGGGAAATGCACAGTTAGAAACATGAATCAGCTTATACATATTTTGTACCTTGGCTCTTTGAAGTGCTGTGCTTTTGTAATTCACAGTAGAATCTAACAAATGAAAATTTGCTATCAAAAGACCTCTTTTATCAAGTAAGACGTTAAATGCAATTTATTCCATGCAGATTATGTGTACTTTTCGGACTGGAATTCCCGTTCCATCAACCGCGTGCGGAAGTCTGACGGCGGAGACGAAAGAACGATCCGGCGCGGGATTCAGCAGCTGATGGAAGTCCGAGTGTTTGATCCGGCCAAGCAGAGCACAAGTAAGCCTACTGTCCAGCTGGCAGCTACAATATGGTTGGATTCATGCACATTGAGGAAATTGTAGACAGGAATTGAGATAACCTTTTCTGGGACTTTTGACCTGGGCTACAGGGAGTGGAGTAACTGAGGAGGGGGTTATGAAGTTGTTGAATATGTTTTCACATAAAACTCTACCAAAAAGCCATTTGAAAGGTCTTTATTGAATATTCAGTGATTTAAACGTCAAATGTCATTGTTACATTTGGAAAGTGTAGAAGTGATAATTGATTACGCTTTATAAACTTGTCCCAGGTCAAACCTTGTGTACGATGAACGGTGGAACTCGGAACGACTGTGACCAGTTCTGCTTCACGGTACGGTACAACCAGCGCAAGTGTGGGTGTGGCTACGGCTACACTCTGGACGCCAACGGTAGAACCTGCAACCCGGATCCCTCCAACCAACCTCCAACCTCACAGTGTCTCAGCAGTAAGTTCATTCATTTCATTTCTACCAAAAGGTATTGTTTTGGGTGGGTTTGTTTGTCAGTTTGTGTGTGTGCTTGTCCGTCAGAGACAGTTACAGGGAGAGTGGAGTAGATGTATTTAGTTACTTGATTGACAGGGATGTCAAGACTCATGGTGGCCCAGCTTGTGCCAGGTGGGAGTAAATGGGTGGTACGTGGAGGAATTCAGGAGGTGTTTGACTGTGTGTAATACCCGATTAAATTATGTCTTACATAATATACAATCCCCAGTTCCAATACGTTCCTGAAAACTGACTCCTTGTCCCTGAATTTGTGCGATGGAATGTATTTATTACTCTATCTATTCATTTTAATGTTATACTTTTCCTTCAATTACAAACCAATGTTGCCAGGATGTTTTTTTGAACACTACTCTTGTTTATGTGCCTGTAGGTTTTTCCTTCCCCTGCTCCAATGGGAGGTGCATCTACCGGTACTACCGCTGTGATGGGGATGACGACTGTGGAGATGGGTCTGATGAAGAAGGCTGTGGAACAGGTCAGAGATAGAGAGTATGGTGGCAGAACGTACTGCGCCTTTGCAAAACCTGTAATGTATTGTGAGCATATCACTTCAACAGAATGTCTTGTTAGAAGTGGTATCTGTGTATTTAAGGATGACATCCCGTCTATAGTTTTCAAATGTTGTGTTGGAAAAGATACCGTCTGCATTGGGTAAAATTCTGATACAACATTAACCAAATATCCAGTAAAAACTGTGAAAAATCTGGGGTTCACACAGGCGCAGTACGTTTTTTGCACTGCCTTTGGTGCAGAGCATGTAAAGTAAATAACTTGAGCTGTATTACATTTTAGCAATACAGGAGTGCCACCTGTCGGTCTTGTCCAAAATTACACGATGCTGTATTGGCAACTGCTAACACTATATTATAAACTTTTATCACAGAGCACACCTGTTCACCCCTCTCCTTCCACTGCGCCAATGGAAACTGCATCTCTCGCCGCTGGCGTTGTGACAATGATGATGACTGCGGCGATGGTTCGGACGAGGCGAACTGTACCGTAACGTCCTGCAGGAGCGGCCAGTTCACCTGCGACAACGCCAGATGTATCCCTGAATTCTGGCGCTGTGATTCTGACAACGACTGCGGGGACGGTTCTGATGAAAGAGACTGTCGTAAGTGGCAGTCACTGATTGTTGTTGCAAACAGGTTTATGATAAAAGAAGTAAAAAGCACTACTCACTAGATATGATGTTTGGAGTATGAGTTTATCTTCTTTTCTTTGCAACAGATTTCAAGGGACTTGATGCTACTAGTACCTTTGACTATCTTATATGACAAGTTTTACAATATACAATAATATTGGTCCATACATATTAGAAAAGATACAGGCTAGCCCTACATGATTGTCACAAAATATTACAACTTTACTCAATGTTAGTCCTTTATTGTTTAAAAAGTTGAATTTTAAAATTAAATTAAAATCAAATATTGCTGTAGTTTGTAGTTGAACTTGCGAACGTTGCTGTACTCTTTGTTGATAAAGATATTAGAACTACCAGTACTTGTGCAATGTAAGTAACACCACCATAACAGTACTATACCTTGTTTTGCATCTCCAGAGGGGATAACCTGCCGTGCAGACCAGTTCACGTGTGACAACGGTCGCTGTGTCCCACAGTCCGCCGTGTGCGACGGGAACCCCCACTGTTCCGACGACTCAGACGAGAGGGACTGCGCCTTCTCGTGCTCACGTCAGGAGTTCGCCTGTGCATCTGGGGACCAGTGCGTACCGAGCTACGGTCGGTGTGACGGACACATGGACTGTCGCGACAGCTCAGACGAACAGGACTGTCGTAAGTCATCTCTTACAAGCCACTTGTGGCAAATTGTAACAAGCCACGCATCTTAAACATGCCACCAGGAAGTTGTGTAATACCTGAATAGATAATTATTATATCATACAGTCCCCTCAACAGTTCTCCAAACAAAAGGTGAACTTGAAGATGACAAAAACTCAAAATACATTGTACTAAGTCTTCCCAGAAATCTGTTATTTCTTGTTCCTGTATACAAATGCATGAATATAACAAGGGTCTATCACCAAATATTGATAATACTGTCCCACTATTGCAGTGAATATTGAGTAGTCTTTTTCTTTCAGCGTCCCTTTCCAGTGTGTTTTTTTAGTGCCTTTTTCGCAGTGTCCATTTTTCAGTGGCCTTTTTCAGCTATTTCAGCACCGGACGTTAACTTCAAATCTTTCCATTTCTGTATTTTTATGTTGTTTATATTTTTTCTTTGTTTTCAGCATCCCGCCCCCCGGATGGTTGCCTTGCAAACGAGTTCCACTGTACGACGGAGCAGGAGTGTATCCCTGCGCGCTGGGAGTGTGACGGACACGCAGACTGTGTGGACGGGTCTGATGAACACACCTACTGTCGTAAGCAATGGAGCTTTCTTCAGACTTTCTTTAGGCCTAAAACAATATGATTCATACTTTCTGTAAAGGTTTTTCCTGGTACCAATGTAATTTTTGGCTTGGTTTATTAATTTCCTTTTATCCTTAAAGGTGCAGTTATATTCACCATATAACTTATAATTAAAGGAATATCGCCATCCTCGAAAGAGAAAGCAGATTGTTTGAGTGTGGGGTTAAAGTACGACAAAAGCCGCTACCAACTACACTTTTTTTTTTTTTTTTCAATGGTTTATTTGCATTAAAACACAACAACACTGTCCCAAAAATGGCAGCCAGAGGCTGAATTGACATTGGGGCATCACATTATTAGTATAAAACGTCATATTAAGCGATTAAAATAGAAATAAACCATTACATAAAATGTATATAAAATATTGTGAACAACGTTTCAAGTGCAAATAAATATCGTAGCAGATAACAAAACAGACGGACACTGGTAACACTAAAATAAGTCTTAGGTTAAAAAAAAGTGACAGTGTTACATATACATATTAAGCAGGCGGATCATGAAAGGAAGGGCACTATTCTGATAACGATCAGTTCTGCTGCGAGGAGTGTTCAGTTTATAAGCTGATCTGGTTAGACGATCTGGTTACACTCCATCTATAACACTTTCATCCAGTCACGTTACCTGTGTTGACGTTTTAACCTCTTGTCCACTTGACCTTGTCAGTAGCTGAAGAAGGATGGCAGATTTAATCTGGTGAAAGTTTCTAAGCTTCAATTTGTAAGTCCTGCGTATCAGTTTAAATTCTTCTTTTTATTATAATCCCCCCGCCCCCCCAGCTCCATTCACGTGCAGCCAGTACCAGTTCCAATGTGAGACGGTGAATCGCTGCATCTCTCGCTGGTGGGTGTGTGACGGAGATAACGACTGTGGGGACATGTCAGACGAACAGGACTGTCCGACGCCGTCCTTTTCGTGCCTGTGGGGCCAGTGGCAGTGTGTCGGGGTGGACGAGTGCATTCAATACGGGCAGGTGTGTGACGGCACGGAGGACTGCTCCAATGGTGCAGATGAGGGACCCTGCAGTAAGTGGTCAATCTGTATATTCATGTTAAACCAATGCAAGTCTGTATGACAAGTTAGTGAATATTGTCATAAGCAGAGCTCGAAAGACATTTTTCTGCATGCCGTACTCGCACCTCCAATTTTACCTGCACTTCATCTGCATATGCAGGAGTTAGTGGTATTCCCAGCCCTACTAAGGGACAGATTGAAAGTAATGTGAAAATGTATGTTAGAGCCAGACAAAGATCGGTCTGTGAAGATTTGAAAAGAAATTGGACAGAAAGTATTGCCGAAACTTGCTCGAGAATGTTGAAACTCATACATGTAGACTCAATACTTTTAATATCAGCTGAAATTTTTTAAAGTAAAAGGACTTTTATTAAGTGACTAGCTAGTGTTTTGTAAAAGCAAACTATGTGTTTCCCCAGACCCAGATGTCTGCCATGAGGGTAATGGCGGCTGCAGTGACGTGTGTGTAGCAACCGTGTTTGGAGCGCAGTGTGAGTGTAACGTGGGCAGGCAACTGGTCCAGAACAGCACCAAGGTTTGTGAAGGTAAGAATGTTTGCCAGACAAACATTTTCATGCAGATACAATGTACAAACGAATTGTGGCGCCAAATGGCCAAGATGCTAGGTCAGCTATGGTTGTGGGTTTGATCCCCGGCATTCTTGGCTAGACATTGTGTTCTTGGGAAGGGCATTTTGCAGGGTTTGTATCCTGTTTGCCCAAATAGCTTTGGTTGCATGGTGGGTGGGAGGTGATTTTGACAGTTGATAAGAAGGTGGTGGCTGAAAGTGACCCAGCATGCGACGTGTGGGAATATGTGGACGGTATGTGGAGGAATTCAGGATGTGGTGTGATACCGAATTAAATCACTATGCAGTCACGGAAACCCAAAATATTTCCCGAAAGTCTGAAATTTCTTTCTTTTTGTTGTTGTTAAACAGATATAGATGAATGTGACCCCCCTGGACACTGCAGTCAGATGTGCACCAATCTACCTGGCTCCTTCAAGTGTGAGTGTGACGACGGCTACCAACTTGAGCCTGACCAACGTACCTGTAAGGCTACAGGTATGCCACACTTAAGAAAAAACTTTGAAATTCTTCCTAACATTGGCCCACACAGGGGAACTGTCTCCCTCTACTACCTCCTTGTATGGAGGTTATTTTTTTGTTTTGTGTGTTTACTTGTACATGTGTAGTTATCTGAATACAGTAGAGTGACAGGAAGTGAATGGGAATATGGTGTATCCAAAGATTGACAGGGAGGTTGAATTGGAGGTCAAAATAGTCTTACCGTAGGCTGGGGAACTGTGTTCAGTCGCCCCTACATGTATGTAACACCCCTACAATGTATCTTTCAACATAGGGTTTGGGTTCTGGAAACATAAGTTGTTGCATTGAGTGTAACCATTCTTTTCATGGCATAGCTGACAGAAAAACAATCAAGAGATTGCCTGCCCACACTCGATTGTTTTTCTGCAACATCGTCTGCAAGAAATGAGATAGACAGGAATTACAAACATTGACAGCAAGAGTACATCAATACCCAAGTGTAATCACATCTTCAGTCTGAGATACAGAAACTCTCATCCAAATGTAATCCCTGTCTAGAACTGCAATATTGAATCTTCACCCCTGTCATATTACATTCAGTATGCATTGAAATCGTCTTTCAGTTCTTGAACATCAATCTAGTAACTGTTGTTACTTTTCTCTTCAACCTGCATTGTCTGAGCTTTGACAATGGCTTTTTTCGCCTTCACCTCTTTTATATCAATTCATAGTTTTTGGACAAATACCTGTTCAACTATAGTCACTGACAAAAAGTAGTGGATGCTACTTGAAACATCAGTTTTTAAAATCTATTGAGTTGCTTGAGTAACAATCTCTTGTGTCAATTACATTCGTACATTGTACACAATCAACTACTTGTTCCAATATAGAAATATCACAGCTTATAGAATGTTGCATTTTCAGTAGCATGCCACTTGGGTATTACAAAGTGACAACAGAAATTTATGGAATTGGAATGGAAATGGATTCAAACTCTCTACCTTTCAACTAAGTCAAGGTAACAAAGAAAAGTTAAACTTATTACCAATGCTGTTGACTTGACTAAACAGCAAACAATATCCCCTAGGTCATGTAGCCTCTACTAGTGAGTGTCAACTTCCTTGAAGTTACAAAATGTATGTAAGCTACAACACAGTATGGAACAGAAAAGCTTTATACATATGCAAAGACTAAGGATTTAGGCTGAATTTGGGAGAAAGTAAGTCAGACCAGCAGATATTTGTTGCCTTTTCCAAGCCCAACTCACTAACAGACAGGTCTACATGTAGCATTCATCATGTATTGGTGCTACTTCTGCTGCAACATGGTTTTGAAGTGGCAAAGTGTCCTGAGCCTGACCAGCTTTTCTTCCCACATTATCAACATTTTGAAGGTCAACATTTTGAAGGGCCTTCGTCTGCTGGTTTTTGGTACGGTTTAACATCATCACAACAAAACCATTGGCAAGAACGTGGACCAGAAATACTATGATGAGGATGTACACATACATGTTTTCAATCACTGGTTCGTTACTCACAGCCATCTCATTACTGACTAATGTGCCTTCAATCTTTGTGGTGTTGCTGGTTTGAATGTTAGTGTTTTTTGAGAAAGTTCCCTCAGCCTTATAGGTAATGGTAGTTGCATATTGGGTAATGGTAGTTGCATATTGGGTAATGGTAGATGCATCTTGGGTAATGGTTGTTGCATCTTTGGTAATGGTAGATGCATCTTGGGTAATGGTAGATGCATCTTGGGTAATGGTTGTTGCATCTTGGGTAATGGTATATGCATCTTGGGTAATGGTTGTTGCATCTTGGGTAATGGTCGTTGCATCTTGGGTAATGGTTGTTGCATCTTGGGTAATGGTAGATGCATCGTTGGGTAATGGTACTAGTTGCATCTTGAGTAATTGTAATTGCACCTTGGGTAATGGTACTAGTTGCATCTGGGGTAATGGTTGTTTCATCTTGGGTAATGATTGTTGCATCTTGGGTAATGGTAGTATGCAGGTGACTACTAAATTGGGTTGTACCATGAGGTACATGGGTTGAACTTGGGGGAACATCGGATATATTTCCACTTCTTAGCTTATAGGTGGAGGTCTCCAATGCTGTTGGTGATGCACACCCTAACTTTTGGACATTAACCTCAAAGAGGGATAACATTCTGAACTGTTTGGGCGAGCCACAGTAGAGGTCGCTATATGCCCTAAAACCGTAGAGGAATTTGAACATCTTGCATGATTGAAACGAGTGCAAGGCCTCCATGCATTTCATCTTGTTGACCAACCAAATCAAGTAGCAGTCACAGTGAAAAGGGTTGTAAGTGATGAGAATTTTTTGCCCCTGCGTTTTGGAACCACAATGTCACCTTCAGCCAAGGACACAATTTCATTGCTGGACAGGTCTAACACCTGTAGATGTTTCAGCTTTTTGAAACAGCTGTCTAAGTTTACAGTTCTTATTTTATTACTGGTCAACAAGATGTGGCGCACATAGGCCAAGTTACAAAGTGACGTCCAAGAAACTTTTTCAATACGGTTCCTTTGAAGATCCAGTGTGTACAGATTTCTTAGTGGTGGAAAATGCGGGACAGTATCAATTTTGTTCCTGCCTAGTTCTAATCGAAAGGTATTCGACGGAATGTCACTAGGGAAGCTGGTCAAGCCTTGTGCTCTACAGTTAACTACTACACGTTTCATAGTTGTGAAGGCCAATCTTTTCAGTGAGATACAGTACTTTGGTAGTGGCTCACTTGTGGTGATTTTAACCCCACAGACAGTAATGATATAAAATACAAGCAGGCTGCTCACAAGTCTCATCTCTACAGTGTAAAGGGATTCAGTCTTCTATGATAATGTTTCAGTCAAAGTTTGATTCCAATTACTTCTAGTCTAAGCTAAAAGAATCCTTGCTAGAATGATCCTAGAATACTTTTTAGAAATGGAAAATAGACTACTTTTCTATATGTGCCTTTTACAATTGTTGTTTTCTATGATAATGTTTTAGTCAAAGGTTGATTCCAAATACTTCTAAGCTAAGCTAAAAAGAAACTGTTTAAGACCTTACTAAATGGTCCTAAAATACTTTTTTAGCACTGGAAAATAGTTTTCTTTATGTACCTCTTACAATTTTCTTTTATAATAATGATTTAGTCAAAGCTTGATTCCAAATACTTCAAAGCTAAAAGGGACTGTTAAAGACGTTATTAAAATGATCCTAAATGATCCTATACTTAAGCTGAGAAGGTTCCTTATTTGTTTTTTTGACAGTATTCTTGCAAAAAAAAATCGTCAAAGGTGTCCTAGCTTTTCTTGCAAGGTGGTTGTTAAAGATTAGAACAATCCTAAAAACACTCCAGTGGAAAAGGTTCCTTGTCTTGCTTTTTGACACTATTTGCGCAAAACAAATTGTCGAAGGTAACCTAGCTTTGCTCCCAAGATTGGCAGGGTGTAGTCAGGCTCCTCAAAAACTGTCAGGTCTCTTCTTGTCCGAGGACGCCGCTCTTCTGAGGGTGTCTTCTGTGGTAGACAATTGATATACATCTACTCAACACTTGAACATGCGCAGTACATGGTACTACATGCACACAAAACACGTGTATATTCAGGTGCATGCGTAGTTACATAAGTTTGTGCAAGCAGTGGTACGGTTTAATATACGATTACTGTAAATTCACTTTATTTTCACGATAGCAAAATTTTACCATCAAAGGAAAATTGACAGTTAATCTTCAGTTGTGGCAGGTGCAGGAGGGCAGGAGGAAGAAAAATGATTTAAGGTTGGGAATGATACATTCACTGTACAGAAGTTACTGGTGAAAACAGTGACTATAAAAGTACGGTGAAAAAAATCGCAAATTACTGTATTCAAAGGGTAGGTGTAGACAAAGTGTCTTCTGCTGAGGATCATCAATGATTATGCATCTTTTCACACCTTAAACATGTGACAGCATTTTGTGTATCTACCTTGAGCACGTGACAGTTACGTTCTTGTTTATTCAAACACCAGGGAGACAAATTACATTATCTAAGTCAGAACAGTAAATCTGCTTTTCAAATTGGTCTGGAACCACTAAGAATGATTGCCACATATTTAGTTTTGACAGTCTAAGTTTGCCTCATACACTGAATCAGTATTCCCACACTGCAAAATAAGAACAATGTAGTGTTGGCAGAAGATAAAACAGCAACAATCTTGAATGTAATAATATCTAGTATAGCATAAGATTACACAAGCAGTGGTACATGTATGTTTAATATCCATGTGGAATGAAGTCTATAGGAGATATTTCAGTCTGTGTGATTCAGTCTGGTAGAGGATTCATGTGATGTTGTATATTCAGGTGCATGCGTAGTTACATAAGCTTGCGTAAGCACTGGTACGGTTTAATATCCAAATGGAATCCAGTCTATTTGGGATATTTCAGTCTTTCACTGTCTTAGTGTGATGAAGTCTGGGGGGATACTTGTGATGTTGTATATTCAGATCCATGTGCAGTGTTTAACTTGGTCTGCCTGCCATTCAGGTACTTCTTGAAAAGAATGGAAACTTTGTTGTACTGATGTCTTTTCTTGTGGCCCGTACACTGTGCCCATTTGTTCAAGAGCAAAAAGATTTTTAGCCCAAGGAAGCAGCAATAGACTTTAAATTAAGCCTCAACACTGCAAATGTATTGAGAAATGCCATAGAAACTGCAACGAGATGAGCTGAACTTGAAGGTCACAAAAAAAACAATTTGAAAACATTTCTTGAATCTTTCTTCTTTATGTAATGAAAGATAAAAAAAAGAGAATCACATTCAAGTAAATTTTGTCTGGTGCAAAATAATTTGAAACTTTATCTACACCACTACAGATAAGCAGACAAAGTATTTCAAGTTCTGACAGTTGTGGCAACTTTTTTCCAGATGACAGCCCTCCCTACTTGATAGTGTCCAGTCGTTACTACCTGTACCTACACAACATCCGTTCCGGGGAGTACCAGAGGGTCCTGTTTGGTCAGCGTTACATCATCGGCACGGATTTCGACACCCAGGAGGGAAGATTGTACTGGGGCGACTCCACCGCAAAAACAATCAGCTCGGCTTTCTTCAATCAAACCGACGAACAAGAGGTTTGTACATTGTAGTAAAGGAGCCCATTTTGTTAGTGACGCTGTGATCGGTCACTTGAAAGGTCTGGATATAGGAGTTTTTTTTACACAACCAAACAAACTGTGCCTTGTAAACAAACTTGTTTGGTTGTGTAAGAGGAACCTCATATATCCAGGACCTATACTTTACCAACCTGATGAAACTATTTTCAGGTCCAGACGTACTCTCTACACTGTAGTAGAGCTTGAATTCACATGAGTATTCTTTAGCTGGATCATCTAACCTTCATCATTGTTGGTGCATGTTTAGCTGAAAGCTAGTTTATTTTAGGTCATTAGTTAGCTAGCCTGTACATTTTAAACCATCACTTTAGGCTCACAATGCTCTATGGCACTTGAATTGTCTGCAGTGCAGCAAATAACACATACTTGAAACCAATCAATCAATCAATCATCCGTGGGCATCATGGTCTGATGCATAGCGGCCAACCAACCGAAAAAAACAAAAATCAATCAATCAATCGTTCATGGGCATCAGGAACTGATGCAACAAACCAACAAACAAGCCAATCAAATATCCAAGCTGTAGATCTTGCCAAAGTGGGGTGATATATTTTGCATTTGCTAACAAATCCTATTTTCTCCAGATCATCAGCAGTGGCCTGCAGGTACCAGAAGGTGTGGTTGTGGACTGGGTGGGGAGGAACCTGTACTGGGCAGACTATGGGCTACAGACTATAGAAGTGTCAGACCTGGCTGGCAACAACCGTGCGGTCCTGTTCAACCAGAATGTCACCTACCCACGGGGCTTGGCGATAGACCCACGTGACAGGTAAGTACCAAACAGCTTTTAGATTAAATGTGGGCAATCCAGAGCACTTTTGACAAATGCTTCTAGCTGCTTCCAGTTTATACTTACATAGCTGATATTTTGTGAACAACTTCCCTGTCACCATACGGATCGTAATGGCCCCCAGCAAAAGTCGTCATGCATCGTTAAAAATCGAATAATCTTGAGTTTTTTTTTTTAATTGCGCTTTCTTAGAATTGAAATTTTTCTTAAAAATCTCAACATTTTCTGAAAAATCACAAGATTTTTTAAAACTATTGGTTTGAGGAGAAACGAGTGCAGTAGTTTCACCGTAAATGAGTCTTTCAAAATAGTGCACATACTGCTTCTCTGCTTAGAAGTCAGAAAGATTGTTCAAGTTGAAACGACAGTGCTCCCAGTCCCAGTGCACTAACCTCTTACTGTAGTTTGAGTCGCCCGAGGGCCCACATTGCCCCATACGCCATATCATTTTGGAAGGACTTTAGGTTGATTTTTATTTGTGTTTTGTCCAGTTACCGGCTGATGTTCTGGACAGACTGGGGCCAGAACCCCAGGATCGAGCGTGCAGGGATGGACGGTAGTGGACGGACCACTATCCTGACAGAGAAACTCTACTGGCCAAATGGTCTGGCCATCGACTTCCCCACCCAGAGACTGTACTTCGCCGACGCCAGGCTGGATTATATCGACTTCTGTAACTACGATGGGACGGGGCGGAGACAGGTGCTCGCAAGTAACCAGGTGAAAGTTTGTCCTTTGAGTATTTATGACTATTTTGTGTTTTTGTGTGTTAAAACTTTAATATTAAAAAAGACCCAAGTCAACTGAAAGTTTGAACTTTAAACTAACTTTGTAACTACCAAGTTGAACTTCCATGATATGTTTTAGCTTTTTTCATCTCTATATACTTTCTAATTGTCTTTAGATAGTGAGGTTTGTGTATAACATTGTGTGAAACTACTTTTTATGGATCCTGTTGCATGCTGGGAGGTGCAAGGCACTGTGGGTAACACAGGGCAAAAATCATTACCATAATAAATACACTGTGTCTGGTCTGGTTTATGCTGTAATGATACTATTGTTACTCAGTATCCAATTTTAATACATGATGTAACATCATACTTGCATGACTTGTACATGTATGTATTTAGCTTCAAGGGCATGAACATACATTAAAGATTCATTCATTCCTTCTCTCCCAAGATCATACAACACCCCCACTCCATCACCATCTTTGAGGACATGGTGTACTGGTCAGACCGGACTGCCAACAAGGTTTATGGGGTGAACAAGTTTGACGGGACCCAGAACCAGACCACAGCCATACGGTATCTCTATGGACCCCTGGACCTGCACGCTTACCATCCTGTCAGACAGCCTCATGGTACGGCATTTCTACTGTCTACAGCACAGATCTTCAATAACTTAAATTTTCCATTTATACGCATGGAAATTGCAATAAAAAAATTGTGTGATATGTGAGTAAAAGCTGTGCATTTCTTGATTAGCCACATGCAATTTCAGCTAATTAGTGCATGCCATTTACATGTACATGGCTTTTGCATGAGTTTTAACTGTGTGTTACATGGCTTTTACACTGTAAACTTTTAACCAAGATTTACATAGTACGTATTACAATTGTGATTGCAATTTACACAACTTTAACTCAAGAAATAAAGAAGTAAAAACCACTGATGTAAATACATGTAGCCGCTTTTACTCCCCTCACAAAGTAATCAGATTAAGTAAATAAGTGTTCAAGGTTATGAAATATCCCGGTGATTTGATGCATGACTTGTGTATATGTTGTGACACCTTCTGAGCTAGTACTTCATAGAAGAATGAAATGGGTTATGATTTTACTTCCTTACACAGGCAACAACACCTGTTTCAACAACCCGTGTTCCCACCTCTGTCTGCTCTCATCGGTGGAAGAGATGGGCTTCAAGTGTGTCTGTCCCACAGGAGCCAGGCTGAACCCTGACCAACGGTCTTGTGACACTTGTAAGTCGGGATAGGTTGTTCCCTCAGTTTGTCATCATTTGTTACATCTGGGACAGAAGTATTGTTTTGGGTGGCTCACTAAAAAGCGTAAGTTTGAGTTTGTATGTACATGTACATGTATCATATCTGCACAAAGTACACTGTATTTTGACATTGTGTTAGACCACATGACAGGACAAAAGTCTTGTTTAGGGTGGCTCACTGAAAAGTGTAAGTTTGAGTTTGTACATCGTATGTATTGTGTCAGACTCTGTACAGAGTAGGTTGACACTGCCTGGTATTATGATTATATATTGTGACATCACCCATCTTTTCATGTAGCATTTTAATGTGATGTCTGACAGTGTGAGAAGTTTTTTTTATGGTGATCACCATATGTTTATGATACTTTCCGGTGGTTTTGGGAGTCACAAATTTCTCGTTTGTTACATTTTTTCAGCTGTGCAGCCATTTGTGCTGTATGTTCAGATGAATTCCATCAAGGGAGCCATGCTGGACCCTACCGACACGGCTACCAACCCCATCACACCTATCACAGGGCTGCGGAGTGGGTACGATGTTGATTTTGATGATGAGGAGGGATACATCTACTGGGTGGAGAGAAACAACTACACAAGTGTAAGACATCTTCAAGTCTTGATTTAGACAACTAAGATTTAGACTTACTTAATACTCAGTTGCTTACATGTATGTCAAGTCCTGGTTTCTCTGGCTCAAGTCATAGAGAAAAACTGCTAAAGAGTGTAGCCCTCTTCAAGTCTTGAAAAAATGTCTCTTAGACTTAGACAAAAAGGTGTAAAGAGTGCAGACATCTACAAGTCTTGAGAAAATGTGTAAGACTTAGACAAAAAGCTGGTAAAGACTGTACAGTCCAAAAGTGGCACAATTCCTTCTTCTTCCTTACAGACCTCCATACATCGTGTGATGCTGGACGGACGAAACCGCACGGACTTCGTCCCGTACGCGTACGTCGGCTACCCGCACGCCATCGCTGTAGACTGGGTCGGCAGGAACATCTACTGGTCCAATCCGGCCAGGTTCACTATTGAAGTCATGCGGATGGACGAGGATGCTCCTCACCGGAAAGTTCTCATCGCCATGGCAGGAGAGGACACTACAACAGTCGGACTGGTCAATGCCATTGCACTGGACCCTGTCAATGGGTGAGTACAGCTAAGTAGTCCAATGGCCCAAAGGCATGCAAATCACGTCTAGATCTCATTTGAAAGCCATGTAAAAGTCCTGTGACACGCAGTTAAGACTTGTGGAAAAGCAGTGTAAACCACATGCAATAATTTGCTGGAATCGCGTTGCTCTCTATAAAGCATAACCACATGTGATTACACGAAAAATGAACACAATTTAAACTACAATTTAAGTGCATGGCTTTTGCACACATTTTAATCAAGAGAAATAGGCTTTTAATTTCATTTTGCATGTTTGCAGATGGGAGTTATTCAAGAGATTGTTGAGCAAAAAATTTCATGCATGTGATTTTTGTCTCCCAGAAAAATGTACTGGGCAGATCGTGGAAACGAAGGCACCATCCCTAAAAAGATCGCGAGTGCCGATCTGGACGGAACTAACCGGGCGAACCTCATCCTGGACCGGGTGGACCATCTGGACTTCATCGCTGTGGACATACCAGCCCAGAAACTGTACTGGACAGAAACTCATTACGGAACAGTGAGTAGAATCATTGTAGATTTGAGAAATTACTTTGAACAATACTCACAATGAAAGAGTTACATTGGGGAGTTTATGAGAGGCACTCTGTCTCTTCATCAACCCGGTAAAGTCAGATCTCGTCATGGAGTTTTCTTGTCATGTAACTGATGTATATTATCACAATCATGATTGTAATTACTTCCGTTTGGAAGTATTGTTTAGGGTGGCTGAGTCGGGGATTTGTGTCTGTTTGCATGGTGGATGGGAGGTGATTTTGACAGGTGATTGGTAGGGAGGTCACCCAGCAGGCATTGAGTTGTAGTATATTATAAGTGGATGGTATGGGAAGTGGTGTCATACCTGATTGAATTACATCATGCAAGAAAAGTCTGTGAACTGTTAGGTCACAAAATCCCAAAATACTTCTCTTTGTTGTATTCTTAGTTGTCTATCTCAGTTAGTGTTAAATAATTTGTACTATTCTGTATCCTTCCTTCTCTGATTTATTGTTGTAATTGTTTCCAGGTGGAAGTTTGTACTATCACATCCCAGGGTACTGCATGTAATGACAGGCGTGCGTTAGTCAGTGGTCTTGCCCATCCTAGAGGCCTGGCTATCTACGGAAACTATCTCTACTATGGAGGTGAGTACAGTGTGTCTGTTGTGTATTCTGTCTTTTTATGAACAAGACATTGAATGTACTATTATGATTGAAATACTGTTTTGTCCACAGATTTGAGTTACGAGGTACTAGAACGTGTGGACAAGGCAGACGGTCAGAACAGGGTTACCCTGAGGAACAACCTCGCTCAGATTCATGCTGTCAAAGTGTACGCCAGGGAACATGGTCAGTAAGCTGTTCTATAGTAACTGTAGTAGACTGTCATTAGAGATAGTTCTGTCTTTAATGTCTTTTTAGACAAGAGGTCTTCATAATATACAAAGAAGCATGGCAACAAAACTGCAGCAAAATGTCCATTCACCCTGTTGATGTGATCCAGCCAGTGCCATTTGACATTGCACAACGACTGTTGTGCTGTCAAAATTAATGGCAAACTGGCCAAATTTGTCAAAATTTCTTGCTAGTTCTCACCTAAAAAGTTTTCCTCCACACACTTGAAAATGCTGGGATTGAAAATCATAGGATGCTCTATGGAAAAGGGCATGCAGGCCCCATTATAATACATTAAGTAAGCATCCTACACATGGATTTTCCCCCACAGTTCCAGCCACCAGGCAGATGTGTAATAGGAACAATGGGAACTGTCAGCAGCTGTGTTTCAACAAGCCGGGTTTCACCAAAGTCTGCGGCTGTGGGACTGGCTTCACTCTAGCCTCGGATGGAACCACATGCCAAGGTGACTCTTTGGAATTTGTGTATTTGTCTGGGTAAACCCAGGGGGGCTTGTGGATTCTTCTAAAACTAGGGGGTACTTTCATACGGTATGTATTTATCTTATGGCATTTCAATTGATGGTAATGAAATTCATGTAGGATATGTCCTCGATTTACTTTACCTCAGGGCTGCTTTTGGTGAAGTATGGTAGTACTTCTTTAGTATGAACAGTACTGTTGGTACTTTTTGTGATTTTTTTGCTGATAAGCTTTCTTGCAAAAACTACTTGAACGGATATAAGAAGGATCTCAAATTGTGGTAACTTAAAGATTCTTTCAATGAACTAGGTTGTCAAGAAGCCTTAACCATTCCAAAAGATCCCAATCTTACTCAAACTCTCTGGGACAGAAGTATTGTTTTGGGTGGCATTGATTTTAACTTTAGAGGGAGTTTGTATGTTTGGGTTCCAGACTTTGTAACACGTCACATAACAAGAGAATCAAGGCCACATAACAGGACGTCAGAAGGCCATGTGGGTATATTGTGTAGGAATTCAATGATTGTACTTCATACAGTTCCAAATAATATACGGTCACGAAAATGCAGAACACTTAACGGGAGTCTAAAATCTCTGAATTCTTCTTGGCACACATGGAAGAGCCTAATGTGACTTCTGTTTGCGTCCAACACAGCTCAGACATCGTTCTTGGTGGTCTCACAGTACGGCGTGATTCGTGCCATCGGCCTCTCGTCCAGTCAACACGAAGATGCCATGGAACCAATCGGAAACACAGGTAAATGACAAGACTCACATTTCGTTCGGGTAATGTGAAATGATCCTGGTGTCAAGATCGTACTTTCCAGTAAATGGATAGATTATTGTAAAAGGAACAATCGATCTGATAGTCATTCATGCAATATAGTTTCATCAGGATGGTAAATATAAGTCACTGAATAAAGAGACTCTTTTTACACAGCCACATGTTTTATTTAGCTGATGTTTCAGTGACCATTTGTCCCCTTCCTCAGGGCAATTTTGACTGTTTCACATTGCCCTGAGGAGGGGGATATTTTTAATAAAAAGTGTTTTTACATTACCCATGAATTTTGTCCACAGGTTTGTCTTGTTGTTGTCTTTGTCTGCCTAGCCTTAAATTTAACTTATGTTGCCTGTACAGTTGTTTGTATGTATACTTAACATGTATGTGTATTACATTTTTGTGTGTCGTTCGTCCGTCAGGTTGACGACGGACGAACTTCATATAGAATGTACAAAACTACAAAATGTAGCTGAGATCTGACACAAAATGATAGTAAAAGTTAGAGCTATAATATCTATTTAGCATATGATGTAACATCAGTAATGGGCCAAAACTATCAGGAAATTTACAATACAATTTACAATACAGATCTCGATTGACTTCTCTTTCCATGGATTTTACATTTTATTCGAGATCTGTGCTATATACTCCTATCTCTGTTAGTTGGTGTGCCCTCATGTAGATGAATTATTTTATTCAGTCCTTTTTACTGTGTCAAAAAACACTACTTAGTCTAACAAATATCTGGCATCACATGACTGTGAGTCCAGTACTTCATTTGTGGGTCATTTGCCCCTGATGAAGGCTACAACAGTGACAGCTGGAAAGAGACTTGACGAATATGTAGGTTCTGTTGTTGAGCTTTAATGATAGTGTAAACTTTTCTTATCTTCATTCTTTAATTTCAACCGACTTTGACTCACTGCTGCAACCACACACCTTTGGTACAAACTTGATTGTCTAACTTTTGGGGGTTACTGTTTAGTAAACACAAATTTCAGACTCAGGAAATTTGAAGGTCACAAAACCCCAAAATACTCCCAGATTATTTTTTCTTGCTGAAATGCTATCATGTGTCACAACTGTGACTCACAAGTGCCAAATCTTTGGTATGTTACTTTAAAGCATCCAAAGCAATTTTAGGGCAGCAAAACTGGCTTTTCTTAATCAATTTTTTGGTCATTTTTTGTAGTATGTTCAATCCTATCCTATAAAGTTCTGAAGTTTCTGAATCATCTTCATTTGGAAGCAAAATCATTTGCAAATTTAAAGGTGTGTGGTTCAGTGACAGTTGTACTGATTTCTCCTCTCTTTTTTGTCTTCTTCTCCCTTTAGTAAGTAGCGGTTTAGCCGTTGATTTTAGGAAGGGTGAGCTGTACTCAGCGTTTAAAATCCCATGGTGGGGGCTACCATGGTATCACGTCATCCACGGAACAGGTTAGCACGCCGCCACAACGTACTGCACCTGTGCGAAACCCGGATTTTTCATGGTTTTCGTTGGATGTTTAGTCAACGTTGCATCTGAATTTTTCCAATTGTAGGCGATATCTTTTCCAAAACTACAGATGGGTATTTGACCTCAAAATTCTGCTGAATTGCCATGCACAATACATTACGGGCTTTATGCAGGTGCAGTATGCTCTGTCGACGTGCTATACAGGTTTGGCCTAGTTGGGCTGTTTGCCATCGGCTGCTCTTTTGGAATGTTGCACACGTAACATGTCTGTACTTTATATTTACAGTTAAACTGCTTTGTGCTGGACTGAGTTGGCTATATAGTATTGTATGTAACACATGTAAAAATAGCAGCCAGCTTTGAATGTCTTGCCAGCATCCAAGACCTGAATCAAAACAGCCAAAGTTCCCTTTGCATTGAAACTAAGGCTGTTTCGCAATGGCTTCTTGATGTAACTCTCATTAACATTTTTCTGCTAGGTTATAGCTGCCACTTTGAAAACAAGTTGTGTTGGAGAGGTCTCTAGTGCAGCACCCTCATGTACATTTTGTACATGTATGCACAGTTTAAATATACAGGAGTGCATTATACTGGGGGATGCTGCATCGGAGGTCTTTTCTGACCCTTTTTTCTGGGTGGCAGATGTACATGTAGAACATGCAATCATTTATGTCATACCTGGGTTGCGATAATGTTTCGATTGTTCCAGCCCATGTGATAACTAGCCTTATCACACAGGGTACTAACAGTCATCACCCAGGCTTCCGAATGGGCCGCTTAGAAGATTCGAATACAAGATTTGGACATTGGAATTGATGTTGTTACAATTTTTTGTTTAGGGACACCCACATTTTGCTTTGAAATGCATGTTTTCTCAGGTAGGTATGACATAAATGACATACAACACATACATTATTCTACATGTATGTGACCTGGTGGAACTTGCATGTTTAGAAGATGCTGTCAACACAGCTAATTGTGATCTCTTCATTTGTACAGGAAGGGGACAGTCTATAGGAGTACACATGAGCCAGAGTCTTCTGTTCTTTGGTTACCAGAACAGAGGAATCTGGAGGATCAAACCTAACATCGACTCTAGGCTGAAGATCATTATAGAGAGCGGGATCGGAACACAGGGAGTGCCTAGTGTAGCCATTGACTGGCTCGCAGGCAAGTACTCAGAATTGTATAACTTATCATGATAATCTGGTTCTCTGGTTCGTACTTCCTGAGAGACAGGAGTGAAAATTAGTGGTTTCAATCTTTTTCTATTTGTCATTTCAGGATACATGTATTTTATAAACGTTCAAGACTTGGAGACAGTGATCGAAGTTGCCAAAACCAGCGGCAGCTACAGGAAGGTTTTGATCAAGAGTGTTGAGGACTCCCCACGGTCCATCGCAGTCAACCCCATCAAAAGGTAAAAGCTGATCACTAGCGCCACCTAGCAATGCAAGTAGAAACTGTACATGTTTATGTACAGTATACTGTTCTACATAGTAGGCTGCTTAAATGTATGTGTATAGTTGTTGACACTACATCCTACCTGTTGTCCAAGTAGCAACTTACCTACTTTTTAAAACTCAGTCTGGACAAGCAGATACACAAACCCAGAGCTCTGCTACCAAAATAGTTGAGATGGTGTAATACTGAATGTATATATGTGACTATTATTTAAGAATCCCTGTTTGATGACAAATCTAAATATGCTTTTGAAGGTACTTGTACTGGGCAGACACTGGCCAGACTCCGGCCATCGAGAGGTCACTACTGGATGGAACTAACCGGACAATACTGGTCAGGAATGGTGTTGTTCAGCCTGCTGACTTGACCATTGACATGGCAACGCACAATGTTTACTGGGTGGACACGAGGGCTGACTCTATCCAGGTAAGGGGCTAACCATGTGATCACCTGAGGGGGGATGGGAATTTGTCTTGGTAGAGTAGGGGTAAAGCGTTTATTCATCTGATGGGGAGTGTGGGAAATTGTCTTGCCTGTGTGTGGATGGTGTTCAGCAACAAGGACAGGCATGTTTGCCTGTGTGTGGATGGTGTTCAGCACTAAGGACAGGCATGTTTGACTATATACAGATGGTGTTCAGCACCAAGGACAGGTATGTTTGCCTGTGTGTGGATGGTGTTCAGCACCAAGGACAGGTATGTTTGCCTTTGTGTGATGGTGTTCAGCACCAAGAACAGGTATGTTAACCTGTGTGGATGGTGTTCAGCACCAAGGACAGGTATGTTTGCCTGTGTGTGGATAGTGTTCAGCACCAGGGACAGATGTTTGCCTGTGTGTGGATGGTGTTCAGCACCAAGGACAGGCATGTTTGCCTGTGTGTGGATGGTGTTCAGCACCAGGGACAGGTATATTTGTATGCAGATGGTGTTCAGCACCAAGGACAGGCATGTTTGCCTGTGTGTGGATGGTGTTCAGCACCAAGGACAGGCATGTTTGCCTGTGTGTGGATGGTGTTCAGTACCAGGGACAGGCGTGTTTGTGTGTTTATAGTGTTCAGCACCAGGGACAGGTGTGTTTGCCTGTGTGTGGATAGTGTTCAGCACCAAGGACAGGTATGTTTGGCTGTATATAGATGGTGTTCAGCACCAAGGACAGGTATGTTTTAAGGCTCTGTTGTTCTTGTTTCTAGCGAATAAGCTGGAATGGTGGTAGCCGAACAGTCATCCGAAGTGGCCGCAACTTGCCTGCTCCAATCAGTATCGCCATCTATCAGGTTGGTGTGGAACTGCACGCTTATATCCATTAGGGTGTACAAAGTATGCATTTTGAATTTCATAGTAGATACTATTTTTTATCAGATTACATTCTTTGGCTATAGCCATATGTTCCCATCGTAATGATATGGATTTAATCATAAGAAAATAATAGAATCTACAATTGCCTTGTAAAACAAGTGTTGAAGTTCTGTACCTGATTTCTTTTTTCATTTGCCTCTTGCAAAATGCACCAACAGTCCAGCATGTATTGGCTTGACCGCAATTTGAGGACGATTTACCGCGCCAGCAAGGAACCAAGCACGGACCCTGCTGAAGAGATTCGCACTGATATGCTAAATCTTCAGAGAATCCGTGTTTTTGACGTCAAGTGTTCAGCCTGCAGGTAATTCAGATAGGTTATCATTAATAATCCTTATTGTAACATAAAGGGCATACATGTATGTTCTACATTGTTCAACAGTGGACATTCAGAGAATTTGTACTACACAATGCAGTTAATCATTGTCTCATTTTGAAGATATGTGCCTGAGTATTTGTACCGATATTTATCAAGGTATAAAGTTGGCCATAAGTTTTTACTGCACTTAATAACAAGAAATCAAAGAATTCACATTTTCACCATGTAGTTACTCCATGCTTTCATGAAGTATTGAGAGTTGTAATTTTCTTGTTTTGTCCATTATTGTCAATTTCTTGCTGGTTCTGTGCATATTCTACTGTCACTTCCTCCCAGCCTGTGGGGAGACCATTTTGACCTCCAATTTGACCTTCCTGTCAGTCTGCAGTTACACCATGCCCTCCTCACTTCCCGTGACTCTACTGTATTCAAATTATTATGGACACACAAGCAAACAAACAGACAAGCACACAAAACCTCTGCACATGGAGGTAAATGATTATAAGGAAGATTTTTCACAAGTAGAAAAACAAGCCTGACAATTTCCTCATGTCGTTAACAGATAACACCAACCCGTGCCAGACCAATAATGGCGGCTGTGAGCAGCTCTGTTTCGCCATGCCTGACTCCACGACTCCCGTGTGTGCCTGCGCTTACGGCATGCTGAATTCAGACAACAGAAGGTGTGATGGTGAGTGTTAGCACGAAAGTTCAACTTGTTTATACTTACATGTAGGTGGAAAGGTGGACTTGTGGTTAGAGGGGTGAAATCTAAAGGTTCTGGGTTCAAATCCCTATAGCATACCCCAAATGTTGTGCCCATGTGAAAGGCACTTTACACCTATTGCCTCAGGTGAAAAGGAGTACATTATACCTACATCTACACCACCTGTAGCTTTGAACCCTCTGAGAACTAAGAACTAAAGGGCAGTTACATGTATATACTGGCTATAAAATGCAGATAAAAGAAGAAATTTTTTACACCTCCATAAGTTTTTGTGAAGTTCTTGTTTTATTTATTTAGGATTGTGAATTTCTGTGTGATTCTGTGCATACAACAATGGCACAAGAGACCATTTTGACCTCCAACTTGACCTTCCTGGCAGTCTGTGGTTACACAATTCCCCCTCACTTCGTGTGACTCTTCTGTATTCAAGTAACTATGGACACACAAGTAAACAAACACATAGAAGCAAACACATAGGAAACTAACTGCCGTACACCAAGGTAAAAGGATGCCTTCAACAGTCATGACCTTTGTGACCTTACAGACGTGTCGGATTACCTCATATACGCTGCGGGAGGAGAAGTTCGCAGCCTCCATCTTGAACCGTCGGCGACCTCCCTGCCGTTCGAGCCAGTCGGAAGCGGACAGCTCCAGCTCAACGGCTATCTGGACTTCGACGCAGCAGACAACCGAATCTACATCACTCGTGAGTCAAGTCATTCTCAGTAGTAATCAGGGCTCTACATTGTAGTTGGCCTAAAAAAAATCATGTCATGTCCCCCCTGTGCGTCTTATCCCAACAGAGGGGTGTTGCACAGTAATTTCTCAAGAACAAGTGCTGAATGTACAAGGTGTTACGCTGTAGGGGTGTGATTAGGGGGTGGGGGCATGCTCCCTCTGGAAAATTTTGAAATCTTGACCCTCTGAATTGCCTTTTCCTGCATTTTGGGGAGCTAATTTTACTAGTAGACCAAGCTAAGCTTAGTGACATCTTTTTATGCCATATTTCTTGTATTTCCAGAGTCTGGTACTGAAGGTCGAAAAATCAGCTATATTAACCTGAACACAGCCGGTGGAACTGACCCTGTTATCCTGGATATCATCACAGAAGGTGGGGTTGTGAGTCGTTTACCTTTTATGTAATTTTTTGGGTTCCTTGAGTTGCAAGTTTTTGTATCTGCTTGTGTTGCTTGGCGGGTGGGAGGTAATTTGGACAGTTGATTGACGAATGGGGAGTCCTGAAGTCACCCCAGCATGGGGTAGGTGCGAGTAAGTGGGCTGTATGTGGAGGAATGCAGGAAGTAGTGTAATACATGTACCTTATTGAATTACACCATAACA